TCTGACCCACTTCATACTGAGCTTAAAGCTAAAGGGCAAAGTGACTTGTTCTTTTATTTTCTCTCAAACACTCTGTGGCTGTTAAAGACAGTCCCTGAAACTCAATCTCCTGTGTCAGTTATGACACTTGGAAGAAAGGAATTTGAATTTCATGTCCCAAACTCCAGCAATGGGCATATGAGACAAGGTTTCCCGTAGGCTGTACCTGGGCAACTGTCAGAGAAAAAAATGACATCTTTACTAGCTCTTTGATGAAGTAAGAAGTGGCACTCCCTTGCCTTAGTGTCCTTTTAAAATGTCTGTCCAGGGACAGTAGGTATGGCTCATTGGTTAAGAGCACTTGTTGCTCTTGAAGAGGACCTGGGTCCAATTCCAAGCACTCATACAGTGGTTCCCAGCCATCTATAAATCCAGTTCCAGGGACTCTAAAGGCCTCTTCTGACCTCCACAGCACCAGGCACACATGTGGTCCACTTATATATACTCAGACAAAACATTCATACACAAAAAATAAATTAATTAAATTAAATATTCATTTCTCATTGGAAAATTTAGGTTTATTGTTTGCCCTTCCTCGCCTCTATTGCTCCTATAATTCCTGAAAGTGGCCCTTGGAGGCTTCTTAAGTAGTGAAAACTTTCTAGTGCCTGCAGCAATTCTTTCTCAGCTTCTACTGTAAAGTTCTTGATCGAAGTCTATGGTAAAGCCTATAATCTGGGGATAGAATAGTTAAAATTATGATTCTCCTATTTTCTTTTTTCATAACTAAAAGTAAATCTTAATTTCTCTAGGAGAACCTAAGAATTAATGAATTAAATATCATCTAATCTTATTTGTTGAAAGCTATTTCTTAGAAGAATCAGGAGAAAATAACAATTTCCAGACATGTTTAATCTTTTAAAAAAATAACTGCTAATTATACCTCTCTTCCTCCCACCCCAAGAAAATTATAGCCTAGCCCCCTTTGTATGAGGTGGTGTCATTTTCTCTGAATAAAAATGTATCCTAGAGGAAAACCTTACAATTTAGGATTAGTTAGGTAAAAATAATGGAGACTTCTTGAAATCTAGCGAGTGTGTATAGCAGGTGTTGCTATACATAATTCGAAAATCCTGTGGTTCTTATTGCAGGTGACAAGTTGTCACATACTTAGCAACTGAAAGCAACATACATTTTGTATGTCCCACTTCCATGGTCAGCAGTCTCAGTACCAGGTGCTCAGGTCTCTCCCAAGGATGTCAGCAGGGTCTTGTTCCATCTGTAGCCATATCTGGAGCTTAGGGTCCTCCTTCAAGTCTTCATGGTTATTGGCAGAATTCAACATTCTGGCTTAATACCAAGGTTTTGGCTTTCCTAAAGTCTTATTACTCTAGATAGTACACTAAAATTAAAGATTTGGTTCGTTAACAGAAATCCCTACCAGTTATTATTTGTACAGTAATTATATAACCCTGGTCCATAGATAATTAGTAAAAGAAGCTTTAACAAGGAGTTAATTTCAAAGTAATGTGCAAAAGCCAAAACTATTTCTAAAGCAAAAGTTGAGGTAGATGTTCCCTAGCTTTTAACATAGAGCATTTTACTTGCATTTTGAAATTTCATCTGGTTAATTAAATATACAAAACAAATTAACCAAAACATACATTATGCATGTAGAAAAATATTAAAGTATATAACAAGGAAATGGGCTCAATATAAGTCTTTAAAAATTGAAAACACAAAGTAATTTTGAGCTTCATGACAGCCTTAGGGTTCACATTACTAGACTGTGATAAATTTAGAAGATTAGACATAGTCTGGCATGTTGTTCTTACCTGCTGACTATGCCTCTTTCCTCTTTAACTCTTTCAAGGAGGGTTCAAAGTGTGTGTGTGTGTGTGTGTGTGTGTGTGTGTGTGTGTGTGTGTTCATTCACACTGCAGTATGTATGTAGAGGTTAGACCTCCCACCTTGTTTTTTAGGCAGGGTCTCTCACTGTTTAAGCTGCTATACTATGTGACCTAGGCTAGCCAGCATACAAGCTCCTGCCATGGGTGTTGCATATACATGTATATGCTTGCACAGGACTAAGCATGTATAGCTTCCCCCTGTCACAGGAGGGCAGGGACTAAGCATGCTGGGCTTACGTAGGTTCTTGGGTTTTGGATGCAGAGTCTCATGCTTCAATAACAGTACTTCTGGCCTTTATAACAGCACCACTGGCCTCCTCTAAAGCCCATACTTTGCTATTTCTTAAAAACCACTTAGCAACTTAATCATTCTCTACGTGTTACTGTGCAAGTCGTACTTAAAGTTCCATTTTTACTCACCAAGCACTGAGGGAGACAATGAACACTCAGAAGAAGTCACAGCTTTCTTGAGTCAGTCACTTGCTCCCTTCAATAAAGTTGGTTCAATACCATGATTCCAACAATGATTCCGTTGTTCAAAAGACTGAAATAAAACCTTCAGTCTTCAAAGTTTTGACATTTTCCACTGCTATTCTTTCCTAACACGTAATTCCAGCATCTGCCTGAATTTAAAGGAGTAGACTAGTAGGTAGCTCAAAACTTCCTTTGTGCAAAAGAGATTTGAATGACTTGGGAGATTTGTGGACAGTTAAATACTTTATTTTTTACTTTTTAGTTTGAAGCCTTTCCCCCACTGTAGTTGAATCATGATACCTTGCTTCAGTCACTGGCATTGATCGTTCACCTACGACCTCAGGGTACCCTAGCTGTTAGCACACTGATTATGGTGTGGTCTGTAGCCTTTTCAGCAAATATAATTAATGCCACTAGGACTGACAAATTTGTTTTTGATTCAGATCGAATAGGGATTGACGCAGAAAGGATTTGACTTAGGAGTATCAATAGCATTAAACCACATGGCCACCTATTCTGTGCTTGCATCTCACTAGAAATGTGCTAAGTAGTTTGCTTTCCTCTTGAGGTGAAAACCATGAACCTTATTCTATCAAAACATCTGTGTGTGAAGTCACAGGTAAAAGTGCACTCTGTACTTGGAGTTTAAAGCTCACACACAGGAGAGACAGACAGAGAGGGAGGGAGGGAGGGAAGCAGAGAGACAGAGAGAGAGAGAGAGAGAGAGAGAGAATAGAGAATATGAATCTTTTGGGACCCTTTGGTACATTTTAGAATCTTTGATCAACATATTTAACTTAGAACTTAGAGAAGGCCTAAACACACACACTTCATACCCAGAGACATTTGGATATCATGCTATAGAATAACATTAATCTCTTCTTCATACCCAGACACATTTGGATATCATGCTATAGAATAACATTAATCTCTGATTTAAAAAATAACAGACATGTTTAGGTATAGCCTCTGTCTATAAAAAGATACTTACCATAGTTCATAGTTACTCAGTGACAGCTACATACATCAATAGACCAATTACTTATTTTTCTAGTTTGCCCAAGTAATTGTCAGATCAGAGGGGAAAAGCCATAGGTAGACACGTTTAAATGATTTTTTTCTTTTTCTGATGCAATGCAGACAAATTTTATGCTGGAAACTTGAGATCCCAGATTTGTCCTGTGATATGGAGATTTGATGTCATTTCCTTTATTATATGTCCAAATTTCTGTTGTCTTACCTGGCACTCTCCCAGTTGTGTCTGTCAGCACAGTTGCTGAGAGCACCACAAATCTAGTCATTACAAGGAATTGTTCTCCTGTTATTCTCCCAGTATTTTTCTTTCCAACACATTTCCTAAATTAAAATGTTGTGAAAATCCTAGAGACTGTAGAAAAATGCTGTTATTTAAGACAAGCCTTTCTTATATTTTCTTAGCATAAAGGTGATATATGTTCATCATACAAAGGGCAAGTAAGCAAAAGGAAGCAGGAAAACCACGGGAAATTAAACTCGCTGAGGGAGCCACGGTTACAGTGCACACACAACTTCCAGTTCTTTCTCTGCATAGAAAAAAAATAACACAAATTATGTTGTACGTTCTGTGATTGATGTACTACAACATCCCATGTTGTAATTGGCTTTTCAGTCAACATTATATTATAAATATCTCCCATGTTGTTATTCTTTTACAGTATTCTTTTCATTGGTTAGACCATGTTTACTGAGCCAGTCCCAATTGCTTGTATTTTAAGGTTTTTTTTTTTTTTTACTTTTATCTTTTCCTGTTCTATAAATAATTCACTGAAAGAACATCTGAGCTGCTATTATCAAGGGCATTTTTATGTTAAAAAAGCTAAATTATTTAAAGTGTAGAAAAATGCTTTGGTGCTGAAATAAGGTAACTGACAAGACAAAATGATGGTGTGTGAGGCTGCCTTTGTGTGCTTAGGCAGCCTCCTTTGTCAGGGTCCCAAAGGTCACAGACACGTGACAGAGTCACTGGAAAAGTTGAAGCCTGTGCAAGTCAGATTTCTGTTCCTATTAACAAGTACCAAAAAAAAAAAATTAGAGCTTTTGGAAATAAGAGAATTATATTGGCCTAGAGAATCTAGTTCATAATCAGGTACACCTCCCAGAATCACTGGTCCTTGGTGACAAAGTGTGGAGAATATAGTAAGTAAAACCACTTCCTTTAACTAGAAAGCAAGAGAGCACGAGAAGAAGGGATCAGATCCCGGGATCCCACTCAGGAGTCTTCCCCCTTGACCTGCCTCTTAAAGGCCCCCCTCCTCCCAGTAGAACTACTTTGGATATGGAGATGTTAAAATGCAGGTCTTTTGCAGAGGACACTGAAGACCCAAGATATAGAAACTCCCATATAGAGAAGATCAACTGTCCCCAAATGGACTATGAGTTAAAACAATAAAATAACCTACAGAACCACCTAAAAGGGGCACCATTCTGTTACTGATTTGTTCCTGTGACAAATTCAAGGCAATTTCATATAAATTTCCATTTACAGATGATTCCATTTTATTTCTTTTTTCCCCCACTCTCTAAGTGTTGTCTTTTTTGGTCACACAAATTGTTGCTCTGTAGATTAAAGTTGCCTCAACAATCAACCCTTCTTGCCAGGCATGCCTTCTCCAACCACACTGAAGAAGTCTGAGAAGTCTGGTTTCAGCAGCCCCTCCCCTTCGCAGACCTCCTCCCTGGGAACAGCATTCACACAGCATCACCGACCTGTCATTACAGGACCCAGAGGTGAGTTGTTCCTCAGAGATCCATAGGCTCTACAGCATAATCTTCAGGTCAAAGTATCAAAGTGGGGAGACAGTGAGGACTGCCCTGTAACTATTGCAAGGCAATAAATGATCTAATTCTTATATTCGAGGATAGTCTTAGAATTTTAGGGACCAAAGAGATTTGGCATCCAATCTATTGCTCTAGAGTTAAAAGACACAAGCCTTTTTTGAGGGGCAGTAGGCTAAAATCAAATGTACCCTCAAGCTGTATGCGTGCATGCCTTGTGTGTAGGTGTTCGTGTTTTTTCCATGCGGTCAGTTACCTATTTTTCAAGTGACAAATGGTTTTTTTGGCCTCCCATCCTTACTGAATCTCTACAGATATGTGGTGTTCTGTGTTGAGGTTGTTGGCGTCAGGGTGCTGACGAGTCTTCCTCATTCCCTCCTTTTGAAGTGGTAGATAGTTTGTCTGGTTTTCATTGCGATGTTTTCCTTACTTCAGTCTCATGTGCTTTTAAGTTTATTACTTAAATGTGTCCACAAGAAATATGATTTGTGTTCCACATTAAAGACAAACCTTAAACCCCAAAAGGATGTCAGCAAATCACTTAACGTGTTCCTATTGCAAGATGAAAATATTTATTGGTTTATTGATAAAACTCCCACAGTAGGAATATGACTAACTGTGACCACATTTGCACCCCTCCATCAGATTGTCCTTTAGGTCCACTATCCAACTGCTGACATCAAAAAGCACCCTGGAAAGTTACAGTCTTTTGTCTACTTTGACATATACTGGGGAAACTGATTTTTCTTGCATTGACCTATGTTAGGCCCATTTATGAATCCGTTTATGAATCTGAATCCATTCATGAATACTGTAATAGTCCTAAAAAAGGAAATATTGTAGTTGAGAGGGATACACAAAGCACATGTGAAAATCTCACTAAAAAAAAAAATGTGCTTTCTATATCAAGAAACTAAATTACTTCATCCTTAGAGATATGGTCATTGACTTAATATTCTCATCAGGATCCCTGATTGTTCCACGTGTGTACCCACACATGTATATAACCACAGATGTTTACCATACATATGTATATACATCTACATATATACATATGTACATATACATATGTGCATATACACATATATATATTGTATAGACATATTATACATTATATATAGAAATGAGAATTTCCATCTGAATAAGCCATTAAACTAGCTAGTAGTACATCCTCTTATCATTAACATGTGTTGAGCCATCTAAACTATAGCAGGAAATGAGAGGCATGAAACCATTTTAAGTCAGAATATTTATGGTCCAAGGAAGATATATATTTTATATATCATTTTTATGGTCAGTTTAACATATTCAAATGCTAAATGAATGTCAGAGGAGGGGGATGCAGAATTTCCTTCATTTGTTCATTAAAGATTTGCTGAGTACATGTCTCTGTGTAGCCACTGGGGCCAATGTTTCCTGCTCTTGTAGAGCAGAACAGGAGAAGGGAAATGAGCATTAAGAAAAGCTGGTGTGTAGTAGGCTACTATCCCTTTGTATCAAACGAGGAGACTTGAAGGAATGGATAGCACTGAAGTCAAATCTAACAGATTCATAGGCATGGCAGCTATTCCAAACAAAGGAAACCCCTGTAGTATAACAGGGCCGTGGAGCTGGAGAAAAACAGCATGGCAGCAACCAGAAAGGCTGGGGAGGCTGTCTCTGCATTCCTGTATACCTTCTGGTTTTCCATTGTCCTCACCAGTACAAGGGGGCCATGTCATTGGAGAAGGAACCTTTCCTCTCAAACTCACATTCTTATGTGAAAATTACAGTAGAACAGTATTTTTGGAAACTCTAAAGGGCATAAACAATATATGCGTGTTATTCCTTATTCAAAAAATACCAAGGGGCCTACGGTGTGTCTTGGCTGCAAGCTGTGTTTCTGTGAAATGCTGTGGCTGCCTATCACTTACCTCAGGTACATGATGACTAATCACTTCCGCTAAAATGGCCCACACTGCACTGGGCCGGAGAAGACTTCCTTAGCACACATGAACCTTCGACATCCTCCTCGCATTGATATTCATAATATATATATATGAAAAGATAGAAGTCTAGTTTAAGAACTGAGGCTCACCAAAGATTCCTTGTTTTCATCAGAATTCAAGACAAATCCCAGCACCCTTGGTTCTCCTTTCTGGGAAGTGTCCTCACTAACCCTCTCCTACCCCTCAGTGGTCTGACACAGGCCTTGGAGTAGAGTGATGATACCCTTCAGTTGCACCTCTGTGCTAAGAATCTCTCTGCTAAGAGTTAAGACAGGCAACCTAGGGCATTTGTTGGTTAAGATATTTTAAGTTGAGATTCTGTCCCTTAGGGTGGATGGAGCAGTCACTGTGGGCTCTATATTCCCTTCCATTCTCCTCTGAACCATTTGGAAAGTTCATGTGACTATCAGGGAGCAGCATGTGCGTGTGATGGCATCCTCAGATACCTGTGCTTCTGCAAAGTTACCACTGTGAGACTCCAGCCAATGTGTGTCCTTTCTCAGGTTCCGAGAGCACAGGAGCGGGGCTCCTGGCATATGCAATGCCTTCCTGCCAGGGTCACATGGTGTATTGACCAGGCTGCTATATTGACTCCAGACTGTAAGATTTGTGCTGCCTTCCCTACACGTCCCCATGACAAGTAGCAGTTAGTGAGTATGAGACATCTCAGTCTCAGGCCAGAAGCTTGATCTCTTAACAAAGCTATAGTAAATCAAGTTCATTTTGCCCAACAAAAAGATGGCTCTATTTTCAACTGCAAGACTAAATTGTATTTGGGGATGTGGTGGGTCTTATTTACAGGAATACCTTTCTGTGTAAAGACTGCAAAGTGAAGATAGAAAAATTGGACCTTGATAGGGAGACATGGTATCATAATGGTTGTCCTGAGATATGTGGGCTACTGCAATATAATACCAAACACTGAGTACCCTATATACAACACAAATGTAATTCTTTTTATTCCTGGAGGCTGAGAGTCCAAAGTCAAGCTGATGGCCTACTTGGTGTCTGGCAAAGGTTCACACACTGGCTTATAGATTCTGGCTTCTCACCATGTAGAGGGGCTAAGCAGCTCTATGGCTTCCATTACAAGGTATCTCCTTCCATCTGTGAAGGTTACACCTTCTTGATCTAATTGACTCCTAAAGGCCCTACCTTCTAATGAAGTTTCTCTTCAGATCATAGAAGCTTTTGCCTCTTACTGAATGTCCCACCTCCAATACTATCTCATTGAAATTAAGATTTCAACATATACATTTTGAGGGGACAAATGTCTTCTGTTTACAGAAGCAGAAGTTAAGGACCAAAATTAGAGGGTCAAATGTGCCAGCATTTGAATCTGTGCTACCATTTATGCCAACTGTGTGGCCCTGGTGCTTTGGTTTACTTCTGAAATTCTCCACCTAGAAAGAAGTGCACTGTCAGAGGAGAATGCTGTCATATGTCTGCTGTCAGTTGCACAGCATCTGGAAGTAGACCGTGCACACAGTAGGACAACATTCTTTCATCCAGGTTTTGAAAAACATTCTCATGCTATCCCTACAGCCTTCACCCTATCAGCATCTTACCCATCCCCAAATCCAGCTTACATACACACAGAACGTCTTTCATCCAGAATGCTCAAGACCATAAGTGTTTGGAATTAGGATTCACAAACATTTCCACATACATCATGCAGTATCTTGGGGATGGCACCAAGATTCATTCATGTTTTATACACACACACACACATACATATGTATACATATATATGTACATATATATTTGCACACATATATATATATATATAATATATATCTTATACACACAACCTCTAGGCAATTTTATATAGTATTTTACCATATGCAGTCAGATATACTGTGATGAACTTGAATCCTGTTAGTGTTCAAAAAGTCTAGGGCTTTGCACATCTCAACCTTGCTGCTTTTAGATTATGGGTACTCAACTTGTGCTTCTTTGGACATGAAGCCGCCTTAGCTGCACCCTCCCTGCATCTCCCACTCTGTAGCCTCCCACAGCTTTACATGCCTGTACATCCTCTACCTTTGCCTTCCATTCTTAGTTAATGTTCATGTCTGGTCCCCTCCTGAAATAAGATATTCACCCCCATTCCCCACAAACACTCTGATAACTTCTCGATGCCTCAGAAGAAATAGCAAGCACAGTCTGTCATCTGAAGAAAACTGTGTGATGATCTAAGTAAGTCTTTGGTACTAGATGTTAGGATTGGTTTTAGTTTATGCCCTTCTGACCACTTTGCTGTGTGCATTGTAAAGGTAGAGGCATGTGGTTTCCTAAGTCTAATCCCCCCTATGGCAGTGGCTTTCTTTGTGGCTTTGGTATATTGCGTAGCCTTATGGCCTTAGTTGGACTATCCATACCCTGGGAATAATGCCTTGACACCTATTTCTCTGTATAGTTAGAATCAAGTAAAGAGGTTAAATTGTAACGGAATAACCTGGAACAAGGAAAGTTATTAAATTTCAATGAAGCCATTTTTGTCCTTGTTCACTGTTACATTTACTGGGCACTTTAAGCTGAATACCGAGCCTCCCAAGACATTGTTTTACCATTACTTCAAAAGTCATAACCATTATAATGTATCCAATCACGACAATGTAGCTGCTTATCCATAATAACTAAAAAGCAAACCTTTGTTCTTCACTATGATGCTTCAAAAGTGGTGAATTTGTCTAGGGATCTAGATTCAGTTTTGGTACATGTTTTACTCACAGCCTGTTTTTAGCTGAGAAGTCTCTATACAACTTGGGTGTGTAGACATATAAAATGACACCTAAATCTAACAGTATCTGATGAGAAACCATAAAAATTATTTAAAACAATTCTTTTGTTAATATATGTTATATATATTACATAAATATAATAAACATATAAACAAATAATATATATAAAAGACCAAAGCAAATTTGTCATGAGATAGATATGTTTATTAATTTTTCACAT